TATATGTGAACTTTCAAATTACTTCTTTTAATTGAATTTAAAAAACATTTATTTAGGGATATATAACTATCAAATTTACTTCATCTAACGTTACATACTTCATTTGCAGACAAAGTGTGCCTGGGAGGATCGGCATAACAGTGTCATTCATGCAAAATTTGAGTTCAAATGTCGTAAGAGACTATCTGATTCCTTCTTTTCTGCTCGGAAGAAGAGGCTTCTGGGTACAAGGAGCATCGGGACTGCGAGGAGACTACTGGTAGTTCCTTAAAATATTTAATTCTATTTTTATCGAACTATATTTATATATTTTAATTTAGTTAACATGTTTTATTATATTCGTAGGAAAAAAAATATGGGAGGAAGATGACTCAGGATGAGTTCTTCATGGAGATTCACATCCGGAAAGAAGAAGGCATCGACAGATCCAACTAGATGGGTCGAGGACCGGGCAGAGACAACATATGTAAGTTTCATAACTACTATAACTTGAAATTAATATTTATAATATTATATAGTTAATAATTTTCTATCTTCTAAATAAAGGGTCGCTACAAGAATAATGTGGAGGAGTACACTCAGAGCTTGCCACTGAATGAGCAAGGCAAGCGACCACCCCTTTCAGACGAAGAAGCACAGGAGATATGGTTGGATGTTGTCGGTGGTCCTAAAAATGGGATATCATACGGCCTTCCAGAGAGATCATTTTGGCACTATAGGGCTATATTGCAAGGTATAGGGACTTCTGCCCCGGGCGAGGCAATTGATAGGTCGACTCTCTCATCTATGGAGAAGAAGATCGCAAAGCTGACAGCAGAGCTTGAAGAGACAAAGGCTAGAGAACAAAAGAAAGATAAACAATTTGATACCCTTCAAGTTAATCTAGAAAAGAGGGACCAACAATTTAATCTCCTTCAAGGTCAGGTGGCCAATTTTCTTGCTAGTGGTGCTTTTCCCATTACCGAGTCTCGTGAGCCTTCCCCAGATGTGTCTGTTTCTTGTCGTGATCCTCCGAACCATGCCGACGATGAAGGTTCTAGTAGTAGAGATGGAGACAATATAGTACAAAACACTCATTGAATGATGTGTATTGCTAAACAAAGTCTTGAACTTGTGAATATTTAGTTGGAATAGTTTTGAATGATGATTGTATTGTTGATATTATTTTGTTATTGAACATTTGTATTGTTGTTGTTGTGGTTGTTATTAGCGTTGTTGTTGTGGTAGGCGTTGGTTAATTGTTGTTGTTGTTGGTTAATTGTGATTATTGCTGGTTAATTATGGTTAAATGGCAGCAATGTAATGCTGCCATTATAGGATGGTTATTGGTTGTAATTGGCAGGATGTGTAGCTTAAAAGCAGCCATATTCTGCCAGGTGTTTACCCAAAAAACCAACTGACTTCCGATCGATTTCGGTCGAAATTCTCATATTAAAATCAAGAAATTCATAATTGCCGACCGACTTCGATCGTTAATTTCAATGTGCAATCTGCAGAAATTTGAAATTACCGACCGAAGTCGGTCGATAATAACCTTTTTTATTTATTTATTTTCGAATGATTTCGGTCGGTTTGCTAAAATTTAAAAAATAAATGTAAAAGTATCAAATAATTATATTTCCAACCGAAATCGGTCACTATTTTGAAAAATAATTTACACATTACCAAACGATTTCGGTCGGTATATTTATTTTTCCAACAAAACTTGTCAGATAAAGTGGTCAAACTTTGGTTGAATTAACCTACCGACTTCGGTTTGAAATTGTGACCATCTTCGTCGCCGTACTTTAGCGACCACTATTTTTTCGACGAATTAAAATCGGTTGATTTTTCTATATTTTCGACCGATTTCGGTCGGTTTTCTTGGACTATATTTGGCAGTTTCTAGTAGCGATAGTAAAATATAATACCATAGCGGAGAAATATAATACCACTATAATATTACAACTTGGTAGTGTCAAGAAACTTCTAAAACTTCTAAAGAAATAACACTCTTTATTTTAAAAACTTCACTACGATATTACTCTTACTCACTATTTATCTCACAGAATATAATCTGTAGATTACTCTCTCTAACTCTTAGTTGTTTCTCTTGATTTGGTGTGTTTAAACTGAATGAAAAAATCTCCTATTTATACGAGAACTTGGCAAACATTGAACTAATCATATTTCTTGGTTTTGCAACTTGCAATTTACAGCTTGCAAATTGTAAGTCTTGTTACAATTTAAAACCTGTTGCACTGTCCAAAACCATTTACACAAATTGGTTTTGCAATTTTGTTTCAACCGCCCATTGCAACTTGTTATCATTTTTTTCTTTTATTTCTGTTCTATTTAAATGGGTTCCACATTACACACATAATAGGTTCATAGGTATCCCCCATTTTTCTAGTCTCTCTTTTGTGCTAATCTGCCATGGATTGCAGCTATCAGTGGCGGAGCCACATACACCAAAGAGGTGTCAACCGACACCCCTTCACCAGAAAATTACACTGTATAGCTAGGTAATTATTTTTTAAATATGTATATATACTATATAATGACACCCCTTGACTTCTTGATGAGTTAACTTATTTATGTTTTGACTCCCCTTAATGAAAATCCTTGCTCCGCCACTTGCAGCTATACATATTTTGTTTTCCATGGTGAATGTATACTTTCATGCCAAGTTTTATGAGCTAAATGTTTCATGGTTGATGTGACATGGTTTATGGTTGATTCAGCAAGGAAGATGTTGTTGGATCCAGATCAAACTACCTTACAGTTTTGGGGCGTGGTGATAATTCCATGTGAAAATAAATATATATGATAGCAACTAAAAGGTATTATAGAATCACAAAAAAGTAGCTCTGTGAAAAGAATGAAACTTCTACATATACACTAGAGAATATCAAGCCTTTTCTCAAAGAATATTTTGATGTTATGCCGAAAGAAATATGTCATGGTTTACAACCAATGAGAGATATTCAACATACTATAGATTAATATTTTATTCCTGATTCTATTTTCCTAATAATTTTGCTTACCACATGAGTGTACAAAGGAGCTTGAGAAGTCAAAACGACAAGTGAGCTTGAGAAGTCAAAACGACAAGTTAAGCAACTTTTAGAAAGGGATTTCGCAAGAGAATGTGTTAGTCTTTGTTCAGCTCCTGCTTTATTGATTTTGAAGAAAGATGAAACATGGGGCGGATGTGTATTCATAGTTCTCTTCTGAATAACTACTTTCAAGTATTATTTTTCTATTATTTCCTCGACTTGATGACCTACTAGATCAGTTGCATAGAGCCACAATATTTTTAAAGATTAGCCTACGAAGTGACTCATAAAATCTATATGCTATTTAGAGATTAATATTGGAAGATTCCTTTCAAGACTCATTAATGTTATAAGTGAATATGTCATTTGGTCTCTCCAATGGACCGGAGAACTTCATACACGTCTCATGAATAAAGTATTCCATCATATGAGATTGAACATATATTATGATTTATTTTGAGGCTATTTTAGTCATAGTAAGAGTCTTGAAGAACACTTAGAGAATTTGCATTAGATTTTTGAAATGCTTAGAACAAGAGCTTTATGTTAACATGAAGAGGTGTGAATTTTTAACCAATAAGATTATCTATGAGTTATTTCTAGTCAAAAAGTTTGGGAGCATTTGTCCAATATATATAAATCTAAATCGGATGAATCTTTATCCGGAGTAGAGCATAAACTCATTAAGGAACAAGAAAATACTATCATGGTTTGGATTAAATCTCGATGAAAAAATACATATCAATGAGAAGTTATTTGGTAAGTTTAATGACCTTTCTTATAATATATAATTTTATAATGGAAATTAAAAAATATATAAAAGGAGTTCTTTATTAGAAAATCGAAGAAAATCCTTTTCGTAAGAAGTAAGAAATAACCTTTCTAGAAAAAATAAATGATTGGAATCTATAGATCAATTCATATTTTTTTTGAATCGAATGCATCAAAAGGTGCATGTGTGGTTCTTAAGGGATAAAATTTTACCCTAGTTAGGGCAAAGTAAGGTTGATGCTTAACATGAACATGCGCTTAGCTTCCTGCATCGTTGTTCCATTAGAAACTTTAGTTTTACTGCTACTATGCTTAGAGAATGTTCGAAAGCAGATAGTTTATGTGGGGCTCTAAAAATAATAGAATTTTGAAGAACTGAATTGAAAGATCGCTTAGTATCTTTTGACGCCGAAATATCGAGGATGCGCTAAAATTAGCGATGTTGGTTACCTTACTACTACATGATAGCAGGAAAAGAGGTCATCTTGGTTTGGTATTTCCTAGAATAATGCACTTACTTCTTAAGAGTAAACGTGTTCATAAAAATCCGAAAAATCAAACCAAACCGAAAACTAAATCAAACCAAATCAAACCGACCGAAAAAACTGATATTTTTTTGGTTTGGTTTGGTTTTGATTTTGAATTTTAAAAACAGATCAAATTTGGTTTGGCTTTGATTTTAATAAAACAAAACCGGAAAAAATCCGAACCAAACCGACTATAGAAGTAGCTATTTCAAATTTATTATTATGCCTATATATATATATTTGTACAAAGTTTCTAAAATTTTATGGTACATGTTAATCGTTTGCACTTTTAGTACAATTATTTGCCTTTACATTCTAGTTTGATCGGTCGTTTTCTTTTGATAAGTATAAGAATTCATTTTATGTTAAAAATAATCTATTTTTAATTGAGTTCTTAAATTATTTATCACTATTTGATTCAATTACTATCAATATATCTTAATAAATGATAGATTTCTCAAAGTGTAATTGATTTGATAGTATTACGTTGAAAATGTAGTCACGAGAATATGTGTTTGGTAGTGTATGTCTCATATTTAAGAAAAAAACCCGATAAATAATCGAAAAAACCTGAAAACTCGACAAAACCCAACATAAACTGAATCTATAAAAAAACTGGGGTTCTCACTGAACGAAGTCTTTCTACTAGAAAGTATTTTAAAAGAATAAAGTAGAGCACAAAGTTCTCCTCTTCTCTCTCCTGCATGCGCACGTTAGTGGTGAGCTATAACATACGCCATTGCGGGAAATGCCTAGAAGGGGGAATCAGAGTACTGTGACAAAGGAAGCAATAACGGAATTGAAAGACCGACTCACTGAGGAAAGGAATTTAGGGTTAGGATCCAGAAAAGTATGATCATTAACGGAAATTATAAAGAAGGTATCGGGTCCGATCAGGACCACCGGAGAAATTCTCACGCCAATTGCTAGATCAGTCTCGGTAGAAGAATCTAACTCTAACTCCAGAGGCTATGGTGAAGGAGCCTACTCTGATTGCTAAATCTGAGGGAAAGGGCACACAATCGACTGTTCGATTGGAGAACTCACCACGAACAGTTATTGGGCAGCAACAATGTCACACAAGCCCTATGACTAAGGCAATTGAAGTAATTGAGGCAAAAAACAAGATAGGGAGACTGATATTGAGCACCAAAAGATAGAGAAGGCAAATAATGCGGGGAAAAGAAGAAATGGGCAAACCTCTTCGAGTGGAATAAAATGTCCGCTAAAGGTATGAATCTAAGCTTCATTGCTCCTCAAATTCACAATGGTGAGAGAATTGTTCAATTAGAAAATGAAGAGGTAGACAAGGGAACAGAGAAATGGAGTACTGCTGTGATAACGTATATATATCATTAGTGAAACACCTACAAGTGGTGCAGTTGAGCGATTCATTGCTTTGCAGTGGAATTTCACAGCCAAACCTAAAGTTTACTTGCACAATGAAGGATACTTCATTATCATATTCACTTACATGGAGGATCGAAATAATGTATTGTTCTCAGGGCCTTATAAAATCAACAATAAACCTATCATTACCAAGGCATGGACCCCAACTTCAACTTTGATGAAGAGGTGTTAAAAATCATATCCCAGTGGATTAAACTCCCTAAGTTGCCATTGCATTGCTGGAATATGAACTCTCTAAGTAGAATAGGAAGTGGATTAGGGAACCCTTTGCATGCAGATGATTGCAAAACAAAGATAGAGAGGGTTTCCCATGCAAGGATGCTAATTAAGATGAATGTCACTCGACCATTGCCAAAAAGTGTGAAAGTAGAATATCCCAATGGGGAAGTCTTTGAACATGAGATTATTTACAACTGGAAACCCATGTACTGCCTACCTGCTTGCAAGTGGGACATTGCTACCAGTAGAATGAAAAATTGAAGCAACATCAGGTTCCAAAAAATTAGGACCAACAACAAAGGAATCAGAAGAAAATCACTAAGAAGGTCTAGATGAAAGCAGGCCAAATTAAAACAGTGATACAAGGTGAGGACAAAAATGACAAGGAAATGCCAGAAAACAAAGGGAAAGCTAAAGAAGGAGAGGTTGGCTGGACAGAAGTTAGAGGCAGATCAACTGGGAAGCTAACTAAAACAACAAACATGGAGGGTGCACAACAACTTATCAGCACAAATGGATTCAATTCTCTCAGTGAAGAAGCTTATAATCAGAGAATAGAATTCCAATATGTACAATATGAAGAACGGGGAGGTAGTGGTATAGCGGTAGAGGATATGAATCAATTTCCTTTTATACCAAGATGAAGATAATCACTTGGAATGTTAGAGGGATGAATAAGTTGTATAAACAAAAGGAGATGAAGGAGTTCATTAAAGAAAATAATATTAGTATTCTAGGAATAATAAAGCACTGAGTTGATCAATAGAACAAAGTTGCTCATATATTAAATAAAATCGCACCTAGCTGGGAGTGGATCACGAATGCATCTGCTACACACAAAGGAAGAATATGGCTGCTTTGAAACCCAAATCATATAGTGGTAAATGAATTGAGTGTTCAAACTCAGTTCATACATGTCTCAATTAGGGGTACATCTACAAATGTTTTGTGCCATTTTACTGATGTATATGGTCTACATAGTATTAAGGACAGATTAGACATGTGGGCCTAACTGGAGCAACTGGAATCATGGCATCAAGAACCCTGGCTAATAATGGGGGACTTCAATGCCATCTTGAGTGTGGAGGACATGCTTCATGGGGCTGAGGTGCAGGATATTGAGGCAAGAGACTTCCGAAAATTCATGATTGAAGCTGGAATGACAGAATTGCAAACAATAGGAAGAACCTACACTTGGAGCAATAACCACACGTACAGTAGGATTGACAGAGCTATAGTAAATTCAATATGGATGAATAAAAAGGCACCTACACCAGTACAAGTGACAGATCCAATCTTTTCAGACCATTCGCCACTTAGCATTGAACTGGGCAGATCAGGAACTAGTTGAGGAAGACTTTCAGGTTCATGAATTGTATAGCAGGACATCCAAACTTCATTAATGTGATAGAAGGAAGCTGGATCCAAACCAACATTGCATAATATATGGAGGATATATGGGATAAACTTAAACATGTCAAGACTGCTATAAAAGATTTGAATGTCAAAGAATTTGCTGGGGTGTCAGAGTAAATCAAGGACATCAGAGACAAACTGAAAGCTGTGTAGGAGGATATGAGAACTCCAAATCATCCACATGAGCTCTTTGAAACAGAGAAGGAATTAAGGATGCTACTTGAAAAATGAGACCTAACAGAAGAAAGCATATATAAGAAAAAGTCCAGGGTTCAGTGGTGGAAACTTGGTGATTCATACTCTGCCTATTTCTTTGCTAGCATGAAGAATAGGATAGCACAAAACCATATCAAGGCATTAGTATCTAGTAGAGGAGTTATGCTACAATTAGAGAAGGGGATAGAAGAAGAGATACTTCAGTTTTATAAGCAACTGCTAGGGACTGATAATGCATCAATGCATGCTATACAACCTGACATCATGACTGAAGGTCCTATACTTACAAGAAGTTAGCAACAAGCACTTAGCAGAGCATTCACCAAGGAAGAAGTCTACCAGGCATTACAAGGGATTGATGTCTCAAAATCCCCAAGTGTTGACAGATTTAATTCTTTTTTTTTTTTTCAAAAAGGCATGGGCAACTATTGGGGATGAGGTAACTAATGCAGTGCTTAACATCTTTGAGACTAATGTCATGTATGGACCAATTAATTGCACTGTTGTCACACTACTCCCAAAAGTTAAGAACCCCTCCTCTGTGAAAGAGTTTAGGCCTATATCCTGTTGAACCACAATGTACAAAATCATATCTAAAATGCTCACAAATATGCTTCAGGGGGTCATGGATGAACTGATTGACAAAGGCCAAGCTGCCTTTGTGCCTGGTCGGGTGATTAATGATAATATTATCCTCAGTCATGAATTAGTAAAGGGGTATAGGAGAAAATGAATTTTACCAAGATGCATGCTCATGATAGATATGCAAAAAGCTTGTGACTCCTTAGAGTGGGTGTTTCTAGAGCAAGTCCTTATTGGGTGGAATTTTTATGAGAACTTTGTGAAGTGGATTATGATATGTGTCAAAACAATCTCCTACTCTATCATAGTTATTGGTAAGGCAACTGCACCATTTGCTGCAAAAAGAGGAGTGAGACAGGGTGATCCCCTATCACCATATCTCTTTATGATAGCAATGGAATACCTTACTAGACTACTGAAGACTTTGAAGGATAAACCAGACTTCAATTACCATCCAGGTGTGCCAAGCTGAATATAGTACAACTGGGATTTGCAAATGAGCTGCTGCTATTTTGCAGAGGAGATGTGATCTCTACTAAGATGCTTTTTGAATGCTTTGAGAATTTCTCTAAGGCATCTGGATTAGTTGCAATTCAAGGGAAAAGCTCTATCTACTTTGGAGGGATCTAACCATCTATTCAACAGGAAATAACTCAAGCATTGGGCTTCAAAGTTGGCACTTTACCATTCAGATACTAGGACTACCTCTAAGCTCAAAGAGGCTATCAATATGACAATGTCAACCACTACTGGACAAGATGATAGGAAGGATCACCTCATGGACTGCAAGATTCCTATCTTATGCAGGTAGGTTGTAGCTAATTAAAAGTCTGCTCACAACTATTCAGAACTTTTGGTCCCAAATATTCATACTGCCTAAAAAGATCATCCAGCTGATTGAAACAATATGCAGAAGATACCTCTGGACAGGAGCTACAGAATGTTCAAAAACGGCTCTGATTGCCTGGGATAAACTATGTCTACCTAAAGTAGGAGTAGGCCTAAATGTAACAAACATTGCCTTACGGAATAAAGCTGCAATTCTGAAGCACTATTAGAAGGACTGAAGGACAGGTTGTGGATCAAGTGGGTTCATACATATTATATAAAGGGGAATACAATAAGAGGAATGAATCCAAAGCAAGCCTCCCGGGTTGTGCAAAAGATTCTCAAAGTAGAGAAATATCTTGAGGATGTTGGGCTAACAGTAGAGGAGATCATGAGCAGGGACAACATCTCAATAAGGGCAATATATAACAAGATGAGGAGTGACTACCCTAAAACTCATTGGAGGAGGCTAATATGCAATAACCAAAGCAGTCCAAGATGGTCATTCATTCTATACATGGCAGTGCAAAACAGGTTGTACACGAGAGATAGACTAATTAAATGGGGATCCAAAGTAGTCCAGTATGCCCCCTGTGTGAGCAAGACCAAGAAAGCACTCAACACCTATTCTTTGAGTGCAATGTGGCAGCTAAAATATGGCAGCAAATTCTAAAGTGGCAAGGTATTAAAAGAGTTGTATTGGGGTGGAATGAGGAGATATCATGGACAGTTAGCAATGCAAATGGTAAACGTGGGAAAGCTGAAATCTATAGGATGACTCTCTCTGGGAGCATTTATTACGTTTGGCTGGAAAGAAACCTAAAATTGTTGCAAAACAAGAGAAGACCAGAGGATGTGATTACAAAGATGATCATACAAGATGTACACTGCAGAGGGAGTAAACTACCAAGGCTAACCAAGCAGATGGCCAGTCTGAATTTCTATCCATGATGCAGAAGTGAGAAGTTCTAGCCAGGTGCAACTAGTTGATATTTTTCGAATACTGTAGGAGTTTGTGTGTATTAGATAAAGTTGAAGAAGTTCTTGATGCACGCTAAAGTTGGGGTTGCATGTCTAACATTAGGGAAAATTGTTATAATTGTACATTGTTCTCAGATAATAGAAAACATATTTACCAAAAAAAAAAAAAAGGTAGAGCACAATGCTTCATATAAAATGTTTACTCAATACAGAGATGGCTCTTATTTAAAGCTCCTAAGGCCTTCCTATAGACTCATATCCTGGGTAGATTTACTTCAACAATTAATGTGGGACAAAATCCACTAGAAGACAAAAGAAAGGTAAACCGCTGCGTTAATAGTTGACACGCTGCTTCATCGTTGACAAGCTGCTGCATAATTAATTGACAAGCTCCTGCATCAGTAGGTGACAAGATCCTGAATCAGTAATGTATGATTGACAGTGTATCCTTTGCAATTAGACAAAATGACACAAAACCTGATGGAGGCTACTTTCATGAGAAAATGCATTAGCTCCAACAATGGCCTTATGTGCCTGCACCTTAAGCCCACTGTACTCTTCTACCTACATAATAAAATTGGTCAACAGAAAAGCACAAAAAATAGGCAGCTTTAAAACTGGTAAAATATCTCTAGCTAAGAGTAGAGGTACAATACCATTTTGCTCGTCTCGATTATATGCTTTGAATTAATCCCAGTGTAGAGACCACCTAGTACTTGCTCTCCACGACATTTTAGTGTCATCACAAACTATTTCAGTAAAGGGAAAGTTAAAAGATGAATTAAGCGAAATGGACCATAAGTAGTGAAAAGTGCAGAATTAAAGAATCCCCATATATATATATTTTTCAACAGACCATCAAATGAGTAAACTATTCCAAAATCTGTTTGCGTTCTTGAAAGTTGAAACTATGCCACACCCAATATCCCCATTAATTCACTTAAGTTAAAACACAAACTCACCTCCTCTAGAGAACAATTTCCAGCTCTTTCACCAATGCCGTTGACAGTCACATCTACTAGTCTTGCTCCTGCACACACTCCCTGAAATTGAACCTACTGTTACTGTTAGAGTCAGTGACTTTTTTTATATGCGCTACTGTTAGACATAAAAGGAATTGAACACATACAGCTAAGGTGTTGGCATTAGCAAGACCAAGATCGTTGTGACAGTGTGTTGAAATGATTACATCTTGTATTCCTGGGGTATTGGCTTTTATGTCAGCAATTAATTGTCCAAATTCATTCGGCAAATTGCATCCAACAGTATCACCGACGGAAATGCCTGTTGCGCCAACTTTGATAACTTCTCCGATAATATCATAAACGAACTCCTTATCAGATCTGACACGAATAAGACAACGATGCAAAAATGTTTCAAAGTTTTATACGTGAAAGCGAAATCACCTTTGATTCTTTAACCATTGAGAATTGAGGGGTTACTGTATATCCAGATAATATGGCAACAAAATATAGGTTAGAAATCTCCATGACAGTTAAGTGGCGCTTATTTGTCTAAAAAGGAATTTGAAATCTAGCAAAAACTTTTTCTCATGAACTCTTTTTCTCCAATTGGAGGAAAATGTTTTCTCTATCAAGAGAAGGGAAAATATTTTTCAAAACTTTTTTTCAACCTTCTCCACCCTATTTCCCATCCTACCAACTCCACACACCCCTACCCACNGTGTAAAAAAAAATATTTTCTTTCATTTCAATAAAAAAAATACTTTCTTTTCATGATGTAGAAAATATTTTCTTTCATTTCAACAAAATGATTTAGTAAAAAGTATATTCTTTCATTTCAACAAAATGAATATTTTCTCTTCATGATGTAAGAAAAGTATTTTCTTACATTTTAACAAAATGACTATTTTCTTTTCATGATGTAAAAAAAGTATTTCTTTTAATTTCAACAAATGAGTACTTTCTTTTCATGTTGTAGAATAATACTTTCTTTTTCAACCAAAAAAAAGTATTTTCCTTTTAATTATGGAGTGCAAATTTCAAAGTTGTTTTGCGTGAAAAAGTAAAGCAGTACATTAGTTCCTTTGAGTTTGTGTGAATTTTTAAAAGAATAATTAAATTTCTTTAAAAAAGAGTCCTGAACACGTTCGGTATTTGAGGTGGGGGGAGG